GATGGGGTACAGGGTTTAGTGTGTGTGATAGGGAGCCAGTGGGGCTGGCGAGGGCTGGGGTGATGGGGTACAGGGGTTAGTGTGTGTGATAGGGAGCCAGTGGGGCTGGCGAGGGCTGGGGTGATGGGGTACAGGGGTTAGTGTGTGTGATAGGGAGCCAGTGGGGCTGGCGAGGGCTGGGGTGATGGGGTACAGGGGTTAGTGTGTGTGATAGGGAGCCAGTGGGGCTGGGCGAGGGCTGGGGTGATGGGGTACAGGGGTTAGTGTGTGTGATAGGGAGCCAGTGGGGCCGGCGAGGGCTGGGGTGATGGGGTACAGGGGTTAGTGTGTGTGATAGGGAGCCAGTGGGGCTGGCGAGGGCTGGGGTGATGGGGTACAGGGGTTAGTGTGTGTGATAGGGAGCCAGTGGGGGCTGGCGAGGGCTGGGGTGATGGGGTACAGGGGTTAGTGTGTGTGATAGGGAGCCAGTGGGGGCTGGCGAGGGCTGGGGTGATGGGGTACAGGGGTTAGTGTGTGTGATAGGGAGCCAGTGGGGCCGGCGAGGGCTGGGGTGATGGGGTACAGGGGTTAGTGTGTGTGATAGGGAGCCAGTGGGGGCTGGCGAGGGCTGGGGTGATGGGGTACAGGGGTTAGTGTGTGTGATAGGGAGCCAGTGGGGGCTGGCGAGGGCTGGGGTGATGGGGTACAGGGGTTAGTGTGTGTGATAGGGAGCCAGTGGGGCTGGCGAGGGCTGGGGTGATGGGGTACAGGGGTTAGTGTGTGTGATAGGGAGCCAGTGGGGCTGGCGAGGGCTGGGGTGATGGGGTACAGGGGTTAGTGTGTGTGATAGGGAGCCAGTGGGGGCTGGCGAGGGCTGGGGTGATGGGGTACGGGGGTTAGTGTGTGTGATAGGGAGCCAGTGGGGGCTGGCGAGGGCTGGGGTGATGGGGTACGGGGTTAGTGTGAGTGATAGGGAGCCAGTTGTAGTGTGAGTTGAGTGGTGGAACTGGGGAGACTGGTGAGGAGGGCATTGGAATAGAGAAACAACAAGGGCAGAGATAGTTGGCGGCAACGCTCAATAGCAAATAGCAAAGCAGCCGATGTGAAGGCAGTGCATGTTAGAGCGCAATGAAACAAGTAACACTGGTGACTCTGTTTCAACCGCACTGCAGGAGTAACTGGCATTAAACTTTTAAAGCCTCACATTAAACCTCATGATCACAGTTATAGAGCAAACTCCTGACCGAAAGGTGTGTTGGCAGGAAAACACTTCACCATCATTCAACAATGTTACTGTTTAAAAGACCAAAGACTCTCACCCTCGCCCAGCTTTACTGACTCCCCGGTCCCCCGAGGATAGTGTAAAATCCTTGCCCTCACATTTAAAGCCCTCCACAACCTTGTTCCTCCGCACGTCTATGAACTCCTAAAACCCTACTAACCTCTGCTCCTCGTCCCCGGCCGGCACATCCCACCATTATCACTCAGGCCTTCAGCCTTTCTGCCCTCACCCTCTGGAATTCCATCTCAGAGCCCCTCCACCTCGTCCCCCGCCTTGTCTCCTTTAAGATCCGTCTCAAGACCCTCTTTGACTGTGCCTTTGGTCATTTTCCCAACTCTACTTTCCTTGCCCTCCACCCGTCTCAGATCCCAACCCACAGCTCAGGTGCAACCCCCTCATTGTCCTCCTGATGTGAAAGGCGTGAAACAAATACAATTTGTTGTTATAATGGGAAAAGGTCTATTTGATTTTGTTTTTCAAATTGTTTGTTAGGCGACTAAATGTGATGAGTGGGCGACAAACCAAATCCCACCTAAAGACCTTCCCTTTGATAGTGCTGACGGCCACCTCCCCCCCCCCCCCACCACCCTCTCCCCCTGGCTCAGGGTCAGACTCCGCCACTGTGAAAAGCTTTGGGACGCTACCCCACGTGAAGGGCACTGTGTAAATGCAAATTGTAGTTATTGTTGTTCTGAGCAGTAAGTAGGAACCCGGTTGTTAGTTGATTGATGGATCGTTTCCATCGATCCTGACCCAACTGTACAGCGCCTTGGGACGTCCTCCCGATGTGAAAGGCGCTCAATAAATGGAATCTTGTTGTTGTTATTGTTTTCTGGGGGTAATAATTTCTCCCCAAAAAATGTCATCACTCAATCCACAACTGTTTGTGGGTCACTGCTGTGCACATTCAGCTGCTGCTTTTCGCCCACAATATATACAGTCAATCTGGATCATGACGCGCTGCTTCAACGTGTCCAGAATAGTAAACCAGGGGACACGGCCTACGATTGAACAAATCTACGCAAACACTATTTCAGTGAGCGAATAGTGACCCTGTGGAACAGGCTCCCTGGGGAGACGGTTGAAGCAGGAAATGTTGATTCTTTCAATCACAGATTAGATAGTTTTGTTTTAGGGAATAACATGATGGGATACAGCACATAGGGAGATGGGAACAGACATATGTGCATGTGACTGCCAGGGAGGTGGAAGGCCAACTAGATGGACCTTGGTCTTTTTTCGTCCAGCATTTCTTATGTTCTTATGTCCACATTCTCACCCGCACCAAACTCCCCTCCCCGATCCCCCCAGTCCTGGCCCTCCCCCCCACCACCAAACCCCTCTCCCCGATCCCCCCAGTCCTGGCCCTCCCCCCCCACCCCCAAACCCCTCTACCCGATCCCCCCAATCCTGGCCCTCCCCCCCACCCCCAAACCCCGCTCCCCGATCCCCCCAGTCCTGGCCCTCCCCCCCACCCCCAAACCCCTCTCCCCGATCCCCCCAGTCCTGGCCCTCCCCCCCACCCCCAAACCCCTCTCCCCGATCCCCCCAGTCCTGGCCCTCCCCCCCACCCCCAAACCCCTCTCCCCGATCCCCCCAATCCTGGCCCTCCCCCCCACCCCCAAACCCCTCTCCCCGATCCCCCCAGTCCTGTCCAGACTGCACCGGCTCCTGTCCCAGAGAGGATTGACTCACCCAAGATCCTCACCTCGTGTTCAAGTCCCTGCACTCCTCTGCCCCCCCCGACCTCTCTGACCTCCTCTCTCCTCAAAACGGTACCCTTTGCCTTCGTTCCTCCGGGTCTGACCTCCTCCTCGTCCCCCGAGGCCTCCGCTCCCCCCTCGCGGCTGTGCCTTCAGCCACTACCCCCCGAGGCTCTGGAACTCCCTTCCTCACTCCCTTCCCCTCGTCCCCTCTCTTCCTATTTTCAGGTCTCTGCTGAAGACCTTTCTCTTCGACGGCACCTTTGGTCACCTTCCCCCACCCCCACCCCCTGGTTCCTCCCCCTCCCCGGCTCCTCCCCCACCCCTGGCTCCTCCCCTCCCCTGGCTCCCCCACCACCACAGGCTCCTCCCCCACCCAGTCTCCTCCCCTCCCCTGGCTCCTCCCCTTTCCTGTGGTTCCTCCCCCTCCCTGACCCCACCCCCTCCCCTGGCTCCTCCCCGTGGTTCCTCCCCCTCCCTGACCCCACCCCCTCCCCTGGCCCCTCCCCTCCCCTGGGCTCGGCCCCGGGATCCGTTACTGTGAATCTCTGAGACACTGTCCGGAGTGGAGGGCACTATATACATCCGAGTTGTTGTTGTTATGTAAAGTGTAGTGACTGTGTATTTTGTGGATGAAACGCAGCAGCCAATTGCGCACAACAGTGTCCCACAAACAGCCGTGGATTGAGTCACAATTTGTTTGGGTGATGAGGGACTATTATCCCCAGAAAGTGATCTGCCAATTGACTAACAACCTGGTTCCTACTTACAGCTGAATAAACAGGTTATGTTAACGTGTGATAAGGCGGTGAATCAAATGCATTATTATTATTATTATTATTATTACCCCCCCTCCCCCTCCCCCTCTGGTCATTTTACAGCCAAGTCCAAATGCAAGGACTATTACTGTAATAATCTCTGCTGTGTATTCAAGGTATAATATACAGCACCAAGTGGTACAGTTGATAAATAAACTCTACAGGCGTAAGGACCTGGAGGTTTCCTGTCTCTCTCTCTCTCTCTCCCTCCCTCCCTCTCTCTCTCTCCCTCCCTCCCTCTCTCTCTCTCTCTCCTCCCTCCCTCCCTCTCCTCTCTCTCTCTCCCTCTCTCTCTGTGTTAGGCATTGGAGAAAGGAGTCATATGATTGCATTCAATAAGAACTCACTGGAAGAGGTTGAATCAGACTCAGAGGAAGGCGACAGACTGGGTGTAAATTGGAGGAATCGAGAGGAGAGAGAGAGGAAAAGAGAGGAGGAGGAGAGAGATAAGATGCTGCTCTTGTTGCTTTTAACGTGATTTGGAAAAAAAAACATTTTTTTGAAAGAAAAGCAAAAATAACCTTTTCTTATGCACGAGATCAGTGAGAAAGCCTTTTATTTTTGCTGCTGTTGTTTCTGCTCTGATCTGAAGTGGATTGATATGAAGTTGGCAGAGAGGCTGTTATTGCTATTCATGTAAAAAAAACATTTTTGCACTAAATCCGTCCTGCAACTGTGTGGTGTTATTTGCTGCTGTTTGTGAGTGATCTGATCTGATCCGATGGCAGAGAATCTTATTGCTTTTAATGTGATATGCAAAAAAATATATATTTTTTGAAAGCAGAGAAGTCGCAGCTGTTTGTGTTGTGGGTATTTCTCTCTCTCTCTCTCTGGTCTGATCTGAAGAAGAGAGTAATATATATATATATATAGAGAGAGAGAGAGAATGAGAGGATAGAATGGCAGAAAGGAGCGGTTATTGCTTTTGATGTGATTTTGCAACAAAAAAATCACCCACTGAGCACAGGATCTGATTTGTTTTCTGCTGAGTATTTTTGTGGGTATTTCTCTCTCTCTCTCTCTCTGTCTCTCTGCGGTTTGTGTTTGGGGGTTCTCTCTCCCCTCTGAGCTGAAGCAGAGAGTGGGGTTCAGGGGGTGTATGCGGATGGCGGGGAGAGGGGAGTCTGGAGCAGAGGCTGGAGACCAGGACCCGGACCAGGAGTTGTCTCTGGAGGAGATTCTGAAGCTGTACAAACAGCCCCTGAATGAGGAACAGGGATGGGCTGTTTGCTACCAGTGCTGCCGGGGCTGGACCCGGGGGTCGGGCTGGGGGGGGGGTCCGGGAGGCTGAGCGGAGCAGCAGCTGTGATCCTGAGCAGAGATGGTACCATCAGCATCCGCCAGCAGCCAGGTACCCCCCCCCCCCCCCGTCTGTCTGTCTGTCTGTCTGGGTACCCCCCCCCCCCGTCTGTCTGTCTGTGGGTCTGTCTGTCTGTGTCTGGGTACCCCCCCCCCCCCGTCTGTCTGTCTGGGGACCCCCCCCCCCGTCTGTCTGTCTGTCTGTCTGTGGGTCTGTCTGTCTGTGTCTGGGTACCCCCCCCTGTCTATCTGTCTGTGTCTGGGTACCCCCCCCTGTCTGTCTGTCTGTCTGTCTGTCTGTCTGTGTCTGGGTACCCCCCCCCCCCCCGTCTGTCTGTCTGTGGGTCTGTCTGTCTGGGTACCCCCCCCCCTGTCTGTGTCTGGGTCTGTCTGTCTGTCTGGGTACCCCCCCCCCCGTCTGTCTGTCTGTCTGTCTGGGTACCCCCCCTGTCTGTCTGTCTGTCTGTCTGTCTGGGTACCCCCCCCCCCGTCTGTCTGTCTGTGTCTGGGTACCCCCCCCTGTCTGTCTGTCTGTCTGTGGGTCTGTCTGTGGGTCTATCTGTCTATCTGTGTCTGGGTACCCCCCCTGTCTGTCTGTGTCTGGGTACCCCCCCTCTGTCTGTCTGTCTGTCTGTCTGTGGGTCTGTCTGTGGGTCTGTCTGTGTCTGGGTACCCCCTCTGTCTGTCTGTGGGTCTGCCTGTCTGTGGGTCTGTGTCTGTGCCCCCCCCCCCACTGTCTGTCTGTCTGTCTGTCTGTGGGTCTGTCTGTCTGTCTGTGGGTCTGTCTGTCTGTCTGTCTGTCTGTCTGTCTGTCTGTCTGTGGGTCTGTCTGTGGGTCTGTGTCTGGGTCCCCCTCACTGTCTGTGTGGGTCTGTGTCCCCCTCACTGTCTGTGTGGGTCTGTGTCTGTGTCCCCCTCACTGTCTGTCTGTGTGGGTCTGGGTCCCCCTCACTGTCTGTCTGTTGGGTCTGTGTCCCCCTCACTGTCTGTCTGTGTGTCTGTGTCTCCCCCACTGTCCCTCTGTGTCTGTCTGTCTCCCCCACTGTCCCTCTGTGTCTGTCTGTGTCTCCCTCACTCTCTCTGTATCTCTGTCTCTCTGTGTCTCTGTGTCTCTCTCTCTCTGTTTCTCTTTTTGTCTCATTCACTATCTCGGTGTCTCTGGGGCTATGTGTGGGGCTGGGGGGGATGTGCGGGGCTGGGGGGGATGTGCGGGGCTGGGGGGGATGTGCGGGGCTGGGGGGGATGTGCGGGGCTGGGGGGATGTGTGGTTGGGGGCTGGGCTGAGATGTGGGGCCAGGGTTTGTGGTTGGGGGTTGGTCTGGGGCTGTGGTTAATAATAATAACAATCCTAATAATCGTTGCATTTGATATAGCGCTTTTCACGTCGGGAGGACGTCCCAAAGCGCTTCACAGAACACACTGTAAAGTGAATTGACTGTATATTTGTGGGCGAACGCGGCAGCCAATTGCGCACAGCAATGTCTCACAAACAGTCGTGCAAATGACCAATTTATTATGGTCTCATTTTTATTTCAAGGCCATCCATGGCCTTGTCCCCTCGTACCTCTCTGACCTACTGACTCCTTACCAACCCGCCCGCTCCCTCCGTTCATCGGGCTCCGACTGCTCCATGTCTCCTGCCCTACCATTGGTGGCCGGGCTTTCAGCCTCTCTGCCCCCACACTCTGGAACGCCATCCTACGGTCCCTTGGCCTCGCTTCCTCCCTCGCCTCCTTCAAGGCCGGTCTCAAGACCCTTCTCTTCAACCGTGCCTTTGGTCTCCCTCCCCCACCTCCCCCACCCCTCCCCCATGCTCGGGCCCCGACATCTGACTGTTCAGCGCTTTGGGATGTCCTCCCGACGTGAAAGACGCTCTATACATGTCATTTTGTTATTGTTGTGGATTATTATCAGACGTGTAGAGTAAGGAAACTCGCCGAAGTGCTCTAACCACTGAGCTACAGGGTTGGGCTGGGGGCTGTGATGGGGTTGGGGAAACACTTGGAGGGCAGTTTCTCACCTGCACTAAACTCCCCCTATCACCCCAGCCCTCGCCAGCCCCCACTGGCTCCCTATCACACACACTAAACCCTGTACCCCATCACCCCATCCCTCGCCAGCCCCCACTGGCTCCCTATCACACACACTAACCCCTGTACCCCATCACCCCAGCCCTCGCCAGCCCCCACTGGCTCCCTATCACACACACTAACCCCTGTACCCCATCACCCAAGCCCTCGCCAGCCCCCACTGTCTCCCTATCACACACACTAACCCCTGTACCCCATCACCCCAGCCCTCGCCAGCCCCCACTGGCTCCCTATCACACCCTAAACTCTGTACCCCATCACCCCATCCCTCGCCAGCCCCCACTGTCTCCCTATCACCGAACGGATTGATTTCAAGATCCTCTCATTCATTTTCAAATCACTTCATTCATTCCCTCCCTCATCTCCGACCTGCTCACCCCCCACTCCACCTCCCGCTGCCTCCACCTGGCTGGCTCCGGCCTCGTCCCCTCCGTTCCACCACTGGTAGCCTCAACCGCCGAAACTCTGTCACTCTCTCCCTTAATTCCTCTGCCTCCCCCCTCCATCTCCCCCTCTCCCTCCCCCCAGCTCGGGGTCAGACTCCACCACTGTCCAGGGCGCCGGGATGCTACCCCACGTGAAGGGCGCTGTGTAAATCCAAGTTGTTGTTTCACAGGATAGTGTTAGTGAATTTAATTGAGTGTATTTTGTGGGAGAAACAGAGAGAGGGAGAGATATACATTGGGAGGGAGAGAGAGAACGAGATGCATAGAAAGAGAAATAAATACCGAGCGAGAGGGGAGGTATATAGGGAGGGTTGTGTCTCTGTCTATCTGTGAAATGCTCCCAGGGCAGTGAGCAGCTCTTACTGTGTGTGTGGTGTGTGTGTGAGAGAGAGGGGGAGAAAGTGATAATTATCCAAAGTGATCTGCATTGGGACAGATAAAAGGACGTGTGAGGATGTGATGGAGGGAGAGAGAAGGAGGGAGGAAGGAAGAGAAACAAAGAGAGGTGAGAGGAGAGACGATGAGAGAGATGTACATAGAGAGGGAGAAAGAAGACAAAGAGGGAAGGAAAGAGAGGGAGGGAGAGAGATACATAAAAGATAGAGATGAGAGAGAGAGAGACATACACACAGATGGGAAGAGCAAGAGATGGGGGGAGAGGGTGGGGGAGAGAAAGAGAGAGTAGATAGAGAGAGAGAATAAAGTTTGCTGGACAGGGAGGTCAGGGACGTAAATAAAAACAAAGCAAAAGGCAGGGAACAGAACGGATGGAGACATTGAAATTATTAGAGAGAGAATGAGCTCTGCATAAAAAACAGAGGCCAAGTCAGAATGATCTGCAATTTGCTGTGTGGGGGGAGAGATTATTTATATAATATATATTATATTTAAGTATGGATGTATTGTCAGCACGTAGAGATGATAAGGCAGGCAGACTGGCGTGGAAAGAATAAATAAACACAGAGCTGACTGGTTGGGAGAGAGGGAGGGAGGGATGAATTTGCAGCGTCTATCCTGTCCATGAGGACAGTGATTGTGTTAGAGGTGAACAGCAACAAAATCAAGAGGGGGGGAAAGAGATTCAGAGAGAGAGGGCGAGAGAAAAACAGGGAGGCAGAGAAAGAAATAGCTAGAGAGCGGGAGAGAAATACATAGAGAGAGAGAAGGTAAAAGATAACTAGATAGAAATACACAGAGAGAGAAGGAAACAGAGAAACAGTTGCCTGGAGATGGAGAGAGAGAAACATAACAGATATAACAGATGATGGTGATAATGAGAGCAGCCGGGGACTTATAGGGCAGTGAAAATAATGTATAGGGTGATCCCAATCGACATTACAGCGACTGGAAATGTGAAATCTGCCTATTTTATAGCTGGTGATGTTAATAATAACTATAATATTAATCCTTGCATTTGACATGGCGCCTTTTCACGTCGTTGAGATGTCTCAAAGCGCTGCACAGGATATACTGTCAAGTGGAGTGAGTGCAAAGCGAGTGCTCTAACCACTGAGCTACAGGACTCCACTGGATGGAGTGCAAATAACCCCCAGCATATCTGATGCAGTCTACAACAACAAATTACATTTACACTTTGACATTTACACAACGCCTTTCACGTTGGAAGGACGTCCCAAGGCGCTGGACAATTGAGCTGGGATTTAAAATCTAGTGGGTTGGAGGGGAAGGGGGTGGGGGTGGGAGACTAGCCAAAGGTGCGGTCAAACAGGAAGGTCTTGACCGAGGGAGGGAGCGAGGCGAAGGGAATGTAGGATGGTGATCCATAGGGTGGGGGCAGAGAGGCTGAAGGCCTAACCGCCGATGGTGGGATGAACCAGGGCGGGGGACACTGAGCGAAGGGAGAGAATAGGTTGATATGGTGTAGGGAGGAGCACAATAAAGTATTGGTCTAACCACGTCTGGAGCACTGAGTTCAGTGTGGATCACCTTGTCATATAGGAAGGATATGATTTATTATTGTGTGTGTCGGCCCGGCTCGGCGTGTGTCGGCCCGGCTCGGCGTGTGTGTCCGCCCGGCTCAGTGTGTATCAGTGTGTGTGTCAGCCCGGCTCAGTGTGTGTCAGTGTATGTCAGCCCGGCTCAGTGTGTGTGTCAGCCCGGCTCAGTGGTAGTGCTCTCTCTCTCTCCCCCTCTCTCTCTCTCCCTTTCTCTCTCACTCAGGAGGTTGTGGGTTCAAGCCCCACATCAGGACTTGGAATCACACAGTCTAAGCTGATGCTCCAATACAGCGCTGGGGGTGGGGGGTGGGGGGGGCACTGTGGGAGGTGCCGTCGTTGGGAGGAGACGTTAAACCGAGGTCCCGTCTGCCTGTTCAGGTGGACGGTAAAGATCCCGCGGGGCTATTGGAAAAGAGAAGGGAGTTTCTCTCTCTCTCCCGGTGTCCTGGACAACAATCCCCCAAATAATATTGCCCACTCGCCCCACGGCTGTGTGTGGGGCACTGCTGTGTGCAATTGGCTGCTGTGTTCGCCCACAAATATACAGTCAATTCACTT